ATTTGAAAAGGCAGCCCTACTACATATTTCTTCATTATACATACGTCATTCACTCAGTGGCTCTTGGAGTTTTACTGTATGTCGTAGGAGGGCTACGGTTTTTAGTTTGGGGAATGGTATAAGATTGGTCTTATTTACTAATCCTTCTGATCAAGTTAAGAAATAAATAAATGCCTGGTTAATTAAGAAGCAAAATCTCTAATCATCAATTGTCAAATAGAAAAAATTACATGGTGTGGTGGCTTTGCTCATTTTCATTGTTGTCAATGGTGATCGCTTTGATTAGTTTCTAGGATGTTCTTTTCTTTTTGCAGGGTGTAAGAATAGTCTATGTGTTCCACGTTACATTTTCAATAAATTTGATTTGTCACACATGGGGAACACAAGTATGGGATACTGGTGATTTATCCAGAAACAATTGGTATATTTTGTTGTAAGCTTTCTATATAGATATGTCTATTGGATTTGGATGGAAGAGAAAAATCTCCAACTTGGTTGGGTTGGGTATTACAGTAAATGTATAATGAATTTTAATTTTGTTAATTAGGTTATTTGGTTTGCTAGCACATGGATAAGGTTGGCATAACAATCACCATGCATTTGACTACTCAGCTCGACAAGGTCTTGAATGGTGGCAAATTGATACGACTTGGTATTTGATACGATTTCTTCAAGCTCTTGGTTTGGCCACAGAGGTCAAACTTCCAACTGAGGCTCGGAAGAAACGAAAAGCTTTGTACAAAAAAGTCATCAAAAAGAAGGAAAGGCTTGGAACCGTAGGCAACAATGGAAAACTCCAAGCAGTGAAATAATGGAGACTTAACGTTTATGCTATCTACATTTTCGTTATTTGTTTTGTAAGAGGTTAGGTTACAAAACAAATAACGAAAATGTAGATAGCATAAACATAAGTATGAAATTGGGCATGATGCTCGAGTTTAGGTTAAGTGGCTGAGGTTAATTTTGTTATTGTTGTGTAGTATTTTTCTTAGCTCTCCTCTTAGTATATCTTTGATTCTTGGGAGTTTCACTAAAACACCCAAAATGGGGGCTGAAATTATAAAAAAAACCCAACACCCAAAACACTTTATAAACACACCGAAAACCCATCATTACACACACTCAAAACCCATTTATAAACACACCCAAAAAATATACAATTGTTGATTTTGGGGTTGATTTTGGGTGTGTTTTTATGTTTAAATAGTGTTTGGGTTTTTTTTTATAAATACATGTCTAGGATTGGGTTTATTTATAAATTTGTATTGATTCTTTGCCTGTCTCAAGGACTATGGTTTCATAGGAGGTTTCCTTGTGAGTGTTGGGATGATACTGCGTGTTTTGGGGACTTCTTATTTTCTTTATCTTGGCCTGTTTGCAATATTTTGTCTCTTCTCTTGTGTTGCTCTCTGCAGCTTTCTCTATTTTCGTCGCCATTCGCTATTGGAGGTGGCTAGATATGGTGTGCTTTGTGATTGCGTTCTTTCTTTCTGGAGCGTGTTCTTTGTAGGATGCTCTCACTATCTTGTTGTTGTGCAAATGACTATGATTTCATAGCAGGACTCTTTTGACAGTTGGGTTGTGTTGTGGTGCTCTTGTCGAAGGTCTATGTGTCATTTTGTTTTATTTTATCTTGGCTTAGTATTGGTCCTATGTGACTGTGTCGGACTCTCTTCTCTTGTTAGTCCATGACATGCGTGATACTCTTTCCTACCCTGAGTTTGTCCCTCAAGAAGGTTTTAACGAGGCTACTATTTCGTGTTGTTCTATGTACGCTACTTCTTCTATGAATGAATTCCATTTCTCAAAAGTATGAATTTGTATAGAATGAGTTTTGTGTATGACTCATTTTCATGGTGTTCAATTTGTGTTTCTCATCTAGTATTTGATTTTTGTTTATGGTTGACAAAAACAATGTGGCCCAAGTCATGGGGAAGGACCTATAACATTCTTGCAAGTTGTTTTTTGAATTCAAAACTAAGGCCCATTTGGTATCATTCTTGGATCCAATTTTATAAATCAATAACAGATTTTAAGTCAAAAGTCTAAATAACCCGTTTGGTAGGCCCATAACCCAAAAAGTGAGGTTTTATAGTTTTTTTCCTCTCTCTCTCTCTCTCTCTCTCTCTCTCTCTCTCTCTCTCGGCTTGGTTTTTTCAAGCTTTATATATTTTTTGTTATTCTGAGTTTGCTCTCTTAGTTGGTATGCATAAGTCAAAGTTTCTTCGATTTTACGTGATTATTAGTGGAGGAGCCCTAGATTGTCTAAATTTTAATGTTGGATTGCTCCGTTATTGTATTGGCCCATTGTGACTAGTGGCTTTATTGGTTGAATTATGAATGCAATCCCAGCATTTCTCAACCAAAAAAAAAAAACTATACAAGCTGTAAGTACTAAACAAAATTATCATTGGATTTTAAGTTAATAACTTTAGCTATCCCATCAATTGAAAAATTCATGGTTCCGCTCTAGAATTTCTCAACAAAAAAAAAACTATAGAAACTGTAAGTACTAAAAAAAATTATCATTAGATTTTAAGCTAATAACTTTTAGCTAGCCCATCCATTGAAAAATTCATAGTCCCACCCTTGTTGGCGGACTCTACTTCTATTAGAGAAGTGGTATACAATGTGGTATGCAAATGTAGTATGCTTAGCATTGCTTATAAAATATCATCTCATATCTCTCACTTCCTTTTTGTGAATTAATACACAAAGAAAT